AAATTTATATAAAACCAAATTGAAAACACTCATGTTGGAAATGTGCATATAATTAGTAACTGAATTAAATTTTCAAACTGCATTCCACCTTCTGCAACGGAAAGTTCTGCTCTTTGTAATGTTTACGTTCATTTGTTCATGTTTCCATGCAAGGTCTTGGTGTTATGTATCGCCAAATAATTTCAAATGTTGTGGCAATCGGATCATGACAAATTTTTCTTCAATGTCATCTGAAGGTCATCATGTAGCAGGTCGTTGAATTCACCTCAACGTCGCCTACAACACTATGAAGTTAAAATTATCCAGTCTCATTTAAAAATATAACGGTGACCTTGTTTTTTTATCGAAAATCAATTTGTTTTTAAATTTAAACAATTACAATTTCTTGTCGGTCAAATACTAATTAATTTTGATAAGAAACATTTTTTGTCAGACTATCAGAACGGGCTGAAAAATCGTGGTGAGTAATTTGTGACTCACCCTGTACATATGTATATTTCTTAAAATAAAATTAATTTCAAGATATTAAAAGGTCACGTTATGAATTTATGATTGCTCGAAGAATTCTTCGAACAGTATCAAGTGCTTTAAAAGGACACCATCAGATTACGTAAAGCGAAAGTATGATAAAACTGTGATCATTAAGACGCGTTATGTACATGATAACAGAATCCTCCGTCTCTCTTTCTCCAATCTTTTCCGGTTGAGTGAAAACCGCTTGTCGCTCGATAGTGACGGATCGGTACGAGACACTTTTCACGTTGCCGGTAATGAAATTTTACACGCCTCGTTTCGCACGATTGCCTCGTACGTGTCACTCTCCTAACCTGTCACCTTTTTTACATAACGATGAAACATACTATGTCTTCAAACGTAATCACACCGATCCACAAATCGTTTCCGATCGACGGGACTTGATAGGATATTAATTAACGTGCTCATTGTAGATCTAAACTAGCATTTTGCTTTATAAAATACAAAAATAAATGAGCCGAAGGTATATATTTTTCATCGGAATGGGAATAAATAAATCAGAAACGAAAAAAACTTTTAAATCAATTTCATCAATTTTAAAACGAATAGTTTCAATTATACGAAATTCTGGAGACTCTGCAAAATATTAAATATCGATTTCTCTTCGTAAATATCAACAGATTTGAATTATTTTTTAGTTGATCGTTGAAAAATAACAGATATCTTTCACTAACATAATTGAAAAAATATTTCAAATAGAACAGTTTTGAATCATACTATAGTTTATATAAAATAATATCTTAAAAGTGAAATATTAATATTAATAATTTTAATAAATCAAC